GGGGCAAGAGGCTGCCTGGGACCATGGGAGGCAGGAGAAGGAGAAGGAGAAGGAAAACTGTGGAGCCGAGAGTGACCGCATGCCAGGGCCCTGCGCCCAGGTGAGTGCGGCTGAGCCTGCCAGGCCTGGCCGTGCTGGGGAGCCCCGTCCTGGCGCATCCTGCTCTGGATTTAGCAGGAGGGGACGGAGTTAATCGCTGCCCTCAGCTCATCCTGCTCCGTCTCCACCAAGGCGCTGTTTTAACCTGATCGATCCGGACGTGCTATCGAGCGGGTGCGTTGCATGCGCCGCATCCCCCCGCAGCGCGGCACCGCCGTGCCGGCCCCGCAAAATTGGGCAGATTGAGAGCCGCGGGATGGGGGGCTCGTGGGGGCCGTGCCCTGAGCGGCACCTCCGCTGCCGGGGGGCTGGAAGGGGGTCGGGCACCGGGGATAAGGGGCTGACGTCGGGGGCTCTGGTGCATGGAGGGGCCTCAGGATGCGCATGGAGGCAGCGACGGGGTCCTGGGGCACAGGGACAGAGCGCAGCAAGGAGGGTCACGTGCACGTGGGATTGGGGATGTGGGGGGAAACCCGGGGTGCCGGGGGCTGTCCAGGTGCATAGAGGGAACTCACGGTGCCCAGGAAGCAAAGAGGGGGACTCGGTATATGGGGGGGAAGCACCAGGCGTCTCAGGATCCACAGGGGAGCTACATGGTGGGGTACCTGGGTGCATAGAAGGGAATGCAGGGTATGCAGGAGCGGGCACAAGGGGACGCAGGGTTCATAGGGAACTGCATGATGGGGGACCCAGGGTGCAAAGAGAGACCGGGCGGGCACGGAGGGGGTGCACGGAGGGGATACCTGGGCAGGGGGACACTTGGCGGGAGCCCCGGGGGGATCCGCGGCCCCTTGGCCCCCGCGGGGCGCTTAGCACGTCGGGTCAGGGGGAGGGTGCCCGGCCCGCAGAGCCGCCGCCCGCTCCCTTTGTCAATGTCCAGTAATTAAAATGTCACCGTTTAATTTTCAGGCCTCTCGGAGCAATCTTTTCCTAATAAAGAGTCTAATCGAAACGCTATTTCCCCCCCCGCCTCCCCGGGAAGGGCCGCGGAAGAGGCTGTAAATGCGCAGAGCCGCTGCGGATCGATAGAGAGGAGCCCGGATTGATCGGCCTCTAAAATTAAATTTATTGGGGTCATGGTTTTATATGGTGCTGATACAACTGTTAAATGGGGAACATTCATTTCCAATAGGAGGCGTTTATTAAACTTCCACTGAATTAGACCGCCGTGATTTATGTGGCAATCTCGGCGCAGCCCTCCAGGAGCGAGGGGCCTTTCGCGGCCGGCCCCGGGTGATTATTTATTTATACACCCG